TTTAGATTATAGTTTATTTAATAACTTAGTCATGTAAAAGTTACAAAATACATATATAAAAGGAAGAAAGGCTTTTTAAAGGAAGTAGGGAAAATTTTGCAATAGTTCGTAAAGTGATGGATTTCTGTTTAAAATACTGTCATTCTGATGGCCCACATGAGAGTCCATGGGTTGAATTCATATGATTTTTTAAATCCAAATGTCAAAATTCTTCTCTCCAATATAAGTCCACTGTATTGTTTTCTGTGCTAGCATGTAGCTGGTTCTATTGTCAAACCCTGCAATTGTTGAGGGATGTTTTTTGATATTAGTGTGAATTCAGCAGAGCATTTTACATGCCCCAATATTAACTGACAACTATAAAAAATATATCACATATATACACATTTAATTTTCATCATGAAACAGGAAGATAAACAATGAAATAATCAGTTAAAGTAGATTTTTATTTTTAACACATGTCGTTTAAATTGATTATAAAAACTGGTAATGTTTCCTCTGCTCAATGTCTTTAGTTCAGTGATCCACCTTTAGTTCTTTTTCTCACAAAATTTCTCAGCTATGCCACATTATTAAATGCATTATTTCAGTGCATCCTTAAGGCATTTCTTCTTCCTGTCTTACTTGAGAGTTTCTTCCTTTGTGGCTCAACATACAGCAGCTGCTTTGCTTCTGTGGTGTCATCATTTTCACATACACATCCAGCGGGAGGATGTAGGTCATACACAGTGAGATTGTTTCAGGGTTAGTAGGCAAGTGCTGTTCCATTACCTCACAGCCTGGATGGTTAATGATCCTGCCGTTAACCGTTGAGTATGTCTTGTAAATGACACTGATGAAATACCACAAGACACTTGACACGGCATTAACACTGCTCAAAGTTTGCAACCATATATGCTGAAGCTTGTGGAGGATACCCATCCTGGTCTTGGCTCTAGAATTGCTTTCAGTTAGCCAGTCACAGTGGCTTTTTGCTTTTAAGGTTTCCTTGCAACTCATTTACCACTGGGCTGGCTTTTCTCTTGTTAGCAGCACTCAAGGAGATTTGAGATAGTGTGGGAAACATTAGCCCTATATTATACATTAATCTTCCTCAGCAGAAAGTCTATATTTGCTTATTTCTATAATAATAAAATAGCAAATGTAAGATATTTTGTTACAATTTAAACACATATATAAAAGAAAGAGAACAAACAGGGCAAAGAGGACAAGTTTGTAAATAACTAGGAAATAGATTTTCCTTTATATAAAAGAAATTTTATTTGTCAATTGATTTTGTTAAAGTTCCAGCTGACAAAATGTTGATTAAGAAAATTACTCTGCTTAGCAAAACAACAAGAAAATTATTAATGTCATGCCACTTAAAAAAAAGGAAAGAAAAATAAAGCAAGACTGGTGAAAGACTGCTTTTGATATTCACAGGGAGAGATTAACTAAACGATGCATTTAAGATTAAAACAGTATAAAATATTTTCCCTTAGAAAGCTCACTAAGAATGTATATCGCAGTGATTCCACAAGTGCTACAGTTCTTTATACAAAGTTAAATAAATTCATTATTTCCTCAGCAGTTAAATGAACTGAGTCTGCTTTCCCTGAATAATAGAAAGATTTGATGCATCTGCCTGATCGCTTCCTTCCTCTGTCCCATATGCAAGCTTCAGTGACTGTTCCCCACAGAGCACCCAAGGGGCATAGCAAACACGTGAAGAGATCACACTCCTTCCACAGAAGGAGCTTCACAGTAACCTGGATCTTTACACGAAAGTGTAAATTCAGAGCAACTTACCCAACTCTGCAACAAAGATGATAAAGTTTGCAAGGAGTGAAAATCATGTAATACTTCAGAGAAATACAGGATGCAGCTGCTGCTCCAGCCTGTAAATTGGACCGCACTGACATTACAATCAACTGTTACTGACAAAGCTCGCGAGAGTTGGCAGCAGCAACTTGATCTGGAGGCAGCCAATCTTTACTTTCTGACATCTGTTCAGAGGCTAATGGGATGAATGCAATAGTGATTCATTTACAGAAGTATTACCGGATTCATGTTTTACAACTGCAGGTGCTCTTCTAAGAGTGAAGAAAAAAAGTATAGAAGCTTGCTTAACTAAAAGAAGTTGAAATTTAACAGAAAATTCACAAGGTCTTTTTGGTAACACTATCAGAACTTTTAAGATTTTTTTCTTTTTTATATAATATACCTTTTTCCTATGGTTGTCTTAAGATTTAAAGATGTACATTTTTTTTTATAAAAAATGTTGTCACTGAATTCCAGAGTACTGTGAAAATGGTGCAATTAGAAAAGATAGTAAAAGAGAAAATAGGAAACAAAATAATTACCCTGTTGATGTAAGCTATGCAAATCAAAAGATTAGTTCTATTAACTGAGTGAATGTTTCTGATGTGTATCCCCTTCCAACTCCAACACCCAAACACTTATTTAAGTCATAGAAATCTCAGCCAACATTGGTAATTTCGTATTCTGGGGACCCTGCCGGAAGTCATACATAATAAGCCACAATTTTCTGGTCAAGCCAGGAAAAATACAGTGAACAATATTTACCAAACTCTATAGAAAAGACACATTTGTCAACCAGCAGTGCAGGTGCTGTGGAAAATATATTTGTCTTCCAGGCTTATTTTCCTTGAAATAGATACTTGAGGAAAAATAAAACCTTTCAATAACTCATTAATGTTTGACTTCTCAATGCAGTATATTATTAACATTTTGTAAATGATAGCTTTCACTTTTAAATCTCTCATTTGTGGGCTCACTATGGACTAATAAGATGGCAGATATTTATAGGTAAGCCCATTTTTGGTTCTTAATAGTGTGTTAACATTTTAAACAAGGAAATATAATGGCATTTGTTGTAATTCTATCTTGTGACAGTCATTAAAACTAACTCACAATTTACATGAACTATTTTATATTATTTCAACAAATATATTAGTTAAATATTATTAGCCACATTTTCAGATGAGAAAGCTAAAGCTTACAAAATCAGAAACTTGCTGTATATCCTACCATTAGTAGGTTTTGGAAACAAAATTTTAACCAAGATTAGTCTGATATCATTTCATGTTAACTGTTTCCAAGATAATAGCCGTTTTGGTCTTTTAAAATTATCTTTTCTGTGAAAATTGCTACTTATGC